AAAGTTTGCTCAAGGATAGTTGGTTTGTTCTACAAATGATAAATTAGAATTGTTTCAAGTTATTATTTTTGTATTGATAAGAGAACTACCTGAATTAGGCAATTGGTCTGTTCCGCAAAAAAATACAACATATGCTATTAGGTTAAGGTCTACTGATTCAGGCAGAAGAATCAGCTATAAATCTTCCTTAGATCTTACTCATATATTCTATTTGCATAATATTACAAGAATTCACAAAAAAGTGTCTAGTGTTTGATAATGAAAACAAGGGGAATCAGGTATTTATTTCTTAAACTTTTGATGTATCTTCGCATAAGCTGATATCTAATAATGCATATTTGATTTTTATAATATATATGATTTTATGCCCTTTTTTTAGGAAGTAGAGGTCTTATCTCGAAGAAGGGAGCTTAGAAAAAGAGGTTACATAAATTACACTGAATCAGATGTGGAAACAAATTCGGAATCAGATTATGTTGAAAAAACATCAAAAAAGTTAAATAGTACAATATTGCATTTCAGTATATAAGTATAAGTCATACATTTTAAATATTTTTTTAAATCTATTAAGTATGAATATAAACTAGGAAGAGGATGTAATGTTAATAATAAAGGCAAGGATGGACAAGTGGAAATAAGGATATCGATAATCACATTAAGGAATTTCAACTTAGAGCTACAAAATATGAAGATGTAATCGAATGGATTCCTTTTAATAGATTAATGGTTATTCAAATTATTGCTGATAAAGTTTTAGCAATCTGGTTAGATGGTTTACGATATACAAAATATGAATTTGTAGATAATGAATATACACAGTCACGTATGCCATCATGTAAAGTGGAGCTTAAAACGTTGACTAGAACACAAAATTTAGAAAATATTTTAAAAGAAGTAAGTCTATTTATTTATTTCAATTATTATCGTATTAATATTATGATATTGTCATGCGGCACGTTTCGGTCAATCATTTGATCATGATTTCCAAGTCTTGTTGTGCTTATACAATAACGTACAAAAAATAACAAGAAAAAAATCTATGATCATAAGTGTTTGCATGATAACGTATTAATATCGTGTTTGTATAACATTAATTTCTTATGTATTAATATTTGTATATTTTATATACTTTACAAGTTTCATATGCAATTGGAGAGTCAATTAGAGTGTAAAAGTATTTACAGGTTAATTTATAACACAATTACAAATGAATATATGTTAGTATTTACCAATTTTGATAAATTTAGTTCTAAAAGAAATTATGATTATGGAACATGTGCAAATTGCAAGTGATTAATTATGCTTGGCATCAAATATGTGACCCTCAGAAAATAGCACAAGAATGGACAAGTGGATATAAGGATGTCGATAACTATATTAAAGAATTTTAACTTAAAGCTACAGAATACGGTGACGTAATAGAATGGATAGATTAAAGAATATTCAAAATATTGCTGATAAAGTTTTAGCAACCTAGTTAGATGGATTACGATATGTAAATAAAGTTGTTTATTCGACATTTCATATGATGTGAATTTTTTACATGAAATTACATAATCAGTTTTGCAAAATATCACAGAAAACTTCACATGGTCATATTAACTATCCAATAACAACATTATTGAACATACATACGACAATTTTTTGTTATCTGTCCAATAATGTATGCTTATAAGTATAAATGTAAACAGTCACATATAGAATTATATAAAGTGGATCTTAAAATATTAACTAGATCACAAAGTTTATCAGATATGTTACAGGAAGTAAGAATATTTATTAATTTGTTGTTGGGGTCTGTATTATTTCACCGACCATTTAAATGACTTCACGTTATTTGACAATTTACTATTTATAAGGGAGATGGGGGTATTGTGGACAGAGGGGTATTGTGGTCAAGTGGAATATCTTACGATCTAGTGATCAAAAT